GGGGTCCTAGATACTAAGCTGGGACATCCCAAGCCTCCAAATTACAAGCCGGGGCCTAGGCTTTAGGGTTTGGGGTTTAGGGTTTAGGGTTTAGGGTTTAGGGTTTAGGGTTTAGGGTTTAGGGTTTAAGGTTTAGGGCACCGCAGTGCCAGAACCCCCGGGCACAGATATCCGCCCGCGAAGCACTGAGCTCCCCTAAACCTCACTTGGATCTTCATGGGTACTTGTAAGTAGGGTTATTGGCAGGGTAGCTATGGTCAGAACCTTATTCAGGGTACTTAACCCCCACTTTTAAGTACCCATTCAAGACCCAACCCAAAACGCCCGAAGCACCCAAAACACCCAAACCACCCAAACCGCCTAAGCCACCCGCAGCAAACACCTAAAGCACCCACAGCACCCAAAGCCCCAAACCCTAAAAGCTGCCAGAAGCCTTCCCGTCTTCCCACCCTGGAACCCAAGATCCCCCCCCCCCCGCTCCTACACCCTGAACCCTAAACTTAAACCCTAAGCTTAAACCCGAGACCCTGAACCCTAAGCCCACAGCCCTGAACTGAACCCCAAGCCCTAAACCTTGGAGCCCCTAAACCCTCGAGCCCCACCACTCTAAGCCCTAAGCCCTGAAGCCAAAACCCTAAGCCCTACATCCTAAGGCCCGAAACCGTAAGGCCCCAAACCCTAAATCCTTGAATAATTACCAACAGTATTCCATTATGGTCCCTTTGCACTTATACTATAAGAGCCCCCAAAACCCTGTTCTAACTATTCAGGCCCCTGTATTACAACCCTCAGGCCCCTAATTTCCTGATCTCCAGGCCTCCATAACCTGGAGGAGTCCCTGCGTGCCGAGAAGACCACGTCTGCTGGACGGTTGCAGGCCACGCGCATTCCGAGGGCTTGCAACCCCCTAAACACTCCGAGCCCTAGACCCTCAAGCCCCTGTAACCAGCTTGAAATGATTCAAAAGTCCAAACAGGTCAAAAAGAGCACTTTCCTCGAAGCTCCTGGAAGCTCCCCGAAACTTTCCCCGGACATGAACCCGTAATAACTTCCAAAACCCTAAGGTTTAGGGTTTAGGGCTGAGGCTTTAAGGTTGCAGGTTGTCCAGGGAAGTTTCAAAAACCTAAACCCTGACCCCTAAACCTTAAACCCTAAACCCTAAAGGTTTTGGGGATTTATGGAGCGACTCTGGTACACCTCTACAATGACAAGGGCGCCAGCCCTCAAGACATCTTTAAGGGGATCCTACTTTTGGGCAGCCGGTTTAGGGTTCAGGGTTTAGGCGTTAGGGTGGTTTTTGTCGTTTGTATTCCGTAATCCTAAGCCCTAAACCTAAAACCCTAAGCCCGAAACCCTACGCCCTAAACCCTGAATGTCTTTGCGGCTTTGGGATCCTAGGGCCACAAGGCTTCGGGGGCTTTCGGGCTTCTTGCGGCTTAAACCCTAAACCCTAAACCCTAAACCCTAAACCCTAAACCCTAAACCCTAATTGGTGGCAGCTGCATATTCGAAAGCCATGCAGGCGCTGTCCACGGAGCGACGAGCTCAGATGCCGGAGTCTTTTGGGTTGAGGTTTAGAGTTTAGGGTTTAGGGTTTGGGGTTTGGGGTTTGGGGTTTAGGGTTTAGGGTTTAGGGTTAGACAGTTCTGGTGAGGGCTCCTGTTGGGCAATCCTGGGATAAGGGGGATCTGCTACGGATCTTAAGAGTTGGTCGTGCTTTCCCAGACCCCCGCGAGGAGCTAGAAAGTAAGATCCCGCTTCGGTCCCTACCCCTAAACCCTCGGGTTCCTACCCCTAAACCCTAGGGTCCTACCCCTGAACCCTAGGGTTCCTACCCCTAAACCCTCTAGGCCCTAAAACGCTACGTAACAGCCGCGGCCAGCATTGAACACAAGATCGAGAAAAATAAGGAGATCCCAATGTAGCATCCAGAGACGATCTAAAAGGCAGAAAGTTGTGGGCAGCACGGGCGAGAAAGACCAGGAAATCTACGGAACGCAGAAGTTCGAAACTAGAGTGACATTGAAGGTGGACATTAACAATTACCCTAAACCCTAGACCCTAAGGCCTCAAAACCTGCTTTGTTGACTTATACAGTCTTTTTAACATCGCAAACTGGCATAGCAAATTGCCATCTAGGTACTTTTTGTCAAGGTGTCGCCCGCTGCTTGTAATGTGGTTTACGGTTTAGGGTTTAGGGTTTAGGGTTGAGGGTTTAGGGTTTAGAGGGGTGTGAGAAAGAGAAGCCGACGCAAGATATGGATGGAGAAGTCATCGCTTGCCATGGAAGTTTGATTAGCAAGTGACATGGGAAATGCTGTCATTTTTTCTGGAGTTTCCTTAGGCGATGAGTAGAAGATAGAAAGTGTACGTCAAACAAAAATCCAAAATATGGACCCTATGACGATCACGCGGGGGGTTGACTAAGTTCTGGGCCCTGGGGAACATGTTCTCAACCCAACAGACACCCGCTGGCCTGTCTCCACTATAGGGTCCTTTCTTCAGGATTGGGAGAACCAGACCAGAACCTTCCACCCTCCAACCTGAACCCTCTAACCAAAAGACCCTGGAGCCCTAAACTTGCGAAACCCTAACCCCCCCCCCCCTTCCCCCTCCTCCTCCTCCCCCACCCCCCCCCGGTTATGTTCAGGTTTCAGAGCAACGTCGGCACCATGGTCAGCAACCTCCTGAAGCAGGTGGAGCGCGGATTGCCAGGGCCCCCATGCGGGCTCCCAACTCCATCTTGGGGCTTGTCATTCTGTTGTTTTTTTGGGTTTGTGGGTTTTGGGTAGGGTTTAGGAACTTTGGGCAAGCGCGAGAACCCTACGCCCTCAGCCCTTAAGAATCCTCAGGCCGCCAAAGCCCCGGAAAACCTCTGAAGCCCCTCGCCCGTCCCTAAAACCTAAACCCTAAACCCTAAACCCCAAACCCCAAACCCTAAACCCTAAACCCTAAACCCTAAACCCTAAACCCTAAACCCCAAACCCTAAACCCTAAACCCTAAACCCTAAACCCTAAACCCTAAACCCCCTCACCCGCCACCAGCCGACCCTTCCTAACGCGCCTAAGGCCCCTTGGAGCCCCCTTAGGTGCCTGGTATCCAAAGCTCCTGGAGTCCCCATCGCCCACACCACGAGCATCTCGAAGTCCCTAGTCTATTTAGGGTTTAGGGCTTAGGGTTTAGGGTTTAGGGTTTAGGGTTTAGGGTTTAGGGATTAGGGTTTAGGGTTTAGGGTTTAGGGTTTAGGGTTTAGGGTCTCCACTGCAACTGCTGTGCTGGAGTGGTGAGTTTCCATCTCGAGTCAGCCGAGTTTTGATCCGATGGCTGCTACGGCAAGCACAGGTTCAGGCAGGTCCGAGGTGCAAGCATGCTTCCCCAAGAAGAACAGCCGCTGGCCGCGGCAACGCTGGCCGCAGGAACGCTGGCCCGGGGGGAACGCTGGCTAAACATGGTACGCTGCGCGCGCCGAGCTTGAAGCAGGTCCTAGCCCTTCAACCCTTCAAACCTTAAACCCAAGATCTTAAACACTATGCCCGGCAGTAGCCTACAAAGAGTTCCTGAGCTTCCAGACCCTGGTTTAGGGTTAGGGTTTAGGGTTTAGGGTTTAGGGTTTAGGGTTTAGGGTTTAGGGTTTAGGGTTTAGGGTTTAGGGTTTAGGGTTTAGGGTTTAGGTAGGGTTTAGGGTTTAGGGTTTAGGGTTTAGGGTTTAGGGTTTAGGGTTTAGGGTTTAGCGTTTCGGGTGAGTTTAAGGTAGGTTTAGGGGGATTGGGGCTTTAGGGTTTAGGGCTTTGGGGGTTTAGGGCTTAGGGCTAGTGTTGTTCCCCGAGCCCTAAACCCTAAGCCCTAGATCTTCTAAGCCGCAAGCCCTATGCATTGTATCGAACCCTAAACCCTAAACCCTAAGCCCTAAACCCTAAACCCTCAACCCGAAACCCTAAACCCCAAACCCTAAACCCTAGACCTTCTAAGCCTTAAACCCTGAACCCTCCATGCACCGGGACATGTTCCAGAGAGCGGGGTTGGAGTCCGTCTGGTCTTTGGCTGGGAGAGCAAATTTGATCCGCGGTCTGGGGCTTAGGTTCTGAGACCAGGGTTTAGGGGCACCCCGAGCCCGAAACCCAAGTTTCCTAAACCCTGAATCCTAAACCCTAAACCCGAAACCCCAAACCCGAAGCCCTAAACCCTTAACCTTAAACCTTAAGCCCTAAACCTTAAACCCTAAACCCTCACCGTGGGCTTCTATCCAAGTCGTCGCCCAGGGCCTCCCTAGAGGAGTCGGCAGCCCACCAGGCGAAACACACGGCGTCTCGGCAAGAGTCGTGGTTTAGGGTTTAGGGTTTAGGGTGAAGGGGTTCAGGGGTTTAGGGTTTTAGGGGAGTAGGGGTGTAGGGTTCAGGGATCAGGGTTCAGGTTTTGAGGTTTAGGGCTTCTCAGGTTTCATCGTGTTTGGGCAGCAGTGGTACTTTGCCCTTTGCGTTTTGGAAGAGTAGCCAGCACACCAGCAGGGTTGACAAGGAAGTAAAGTGCAGACCACTGCGGCGGCAGCAGCACCTGGTTGTTGCTGTTGAGGTTTTCGACCAGAAGACGAGATGCTCACGACACTGCTAGAAACAATTCTCATAATGTTGACGATGATGATGTTGTTGTTCTCAATGATTACTGTCAGTTCCAGTACAGTCTCAGTACAGTTCTGTATCAGGGATACCGATGATGCAAGCGATGGATGCGAGTCAAATGTCTACTGTTATATGTTGGGGATTTGTGACGTGAGGACATCCTCATGGATCTTGAGCATCTATCATCAATCCCAACGGCAACAACCAGAACGATACACACGCGGTTTAGGGTTTAGGGCTTAGGGTTTAGGTTTTAGGGATTAGGGTTTAGGGTTTAGGGTTACACCTCATCATGGACGCAGCAGCAGTCCTTGCTACATGCATCTTTTCTCTTCCGCTCAAGACAACCCCTCACAACAGAACCCACCACGGCAACGAAACAGTTTCCCATGAGACCGGGGACGGCCAAACTCATGGCCGCCATGGCGTCTTCTCTTTCCTGCCCACCTCGGGTGACTCACTTCACCTACTGTTTGGGAAATGCCTTGTACGTGCCACTCACCTCCCGGAGCAATTCTCGAACCTTGCCCGAACTTCGGGGTGACAATTTTGTATTGCCGGCATCGGTGGTCGCCGCCCTGTGTCGTGTTCGAGATGCCGAGGCTGGGACCAGTCAATGGGCGGGCTGGTGTGCCTATTTGGATACCCAAGAAGGGCCTCAAAAACTACCACCGGCGTTGGCATATGTAGCGGGACTGCCGCAAGGTGAAGAAGAAGGACAACCCACACGAGACGGCTTGTTTCAAGAAATTCGACAACAACTGTTCGAGAACAAGATACAGTCCATCGTCTTTTCGGGAGAAGGAGAACCCACATTGCGAATGGACGACATGTTGCAATTGTCCCAACAAGTTCATGACGAAGCAAGGAAATGCAGTATGTCTACTACCGTTCGACTCACGACCAATGGATTGGTAGCATTGTCATCTTGCTCGGAGGCATTGCAGAAATGCCTGGCTCACGGCATCACTCACATCAGCGTCGGTCTTCATACTGGCCTTGCCGGTCAGTATACGGAGTTGGTGCAACCTTGCGTAGCGTCCGAGGATGAGGATGCTCACAAGATGGTATGTCATTTTATTCAAGAGGCCGTACGACTCGGTCTACAGGTGGAAACTACGGCGGTGGATCGCGATGACGTCGACAAGGAACAAACCGAGGCCTTGTCGAAATCTCTCGGAGTGTCGACACCGGTTCGGTGGAGGCCCTACTTTCCATAGGTTGAAAGTATCATCATGGGTTGTACCTTACATTTGCGGGTGAGATTGGTCTTTTTGAAAGCCACTTTCAGACTGCGGAGCCGTCCGTCGCACGCCAGATTCCTGGGCTTTGCTTTGGTTGACCGGGAATTGAGGCCACAATACCTTGCTTCTGAGGTTGGCGTGTAGCTCCAGCGTCGCCTTTTATGTTGATGGTCTTGAGAGCAGGGCGCCCACATGGACTGGGTGCCGACAGTGCGTTGAAGAAATCTCGGATCAATGCAACCACGATGCAGGTGTCCAGTGGGGCCTCACAAGAGAGGAGGAGCCTCGCAAAAAAGGAGGGAGACACAGCATTGACTCTTTGATATCTGCAGGATATCAGAGTGCATGGGGTTCGGTGGGTTAGGGGTGCGGGGTTTGGGCTTCAGAAGTCAGGGGTTGTTTGCCATTTTCCACCCTAAACCCTAAACCCCTAACCCTAAACCCTAAACCCTAAACCCTGAACCCTGAACCCTGAACCCTGAACCCTGAACCCTGAACCCTAAACCCTAAACCCGAAACCCTAAACCCTAACCCTAAACCCTAAGGGGTCAGGGGTTGCTTACCATTTTCTTTTTTGAGGGCGCAGTTGTGAGTTGGCGGGGGCGGCCCGATATGGGGGTTTACGAAACTCGGGGACCCCCAACATAAACCCTCGAATAGTAGGACTCCCTTATGATGGGGACCCACCCCAACAAGGCCCCCCCCCCCAAAACTCGGAAGCCCTCATATGTCGAAGGCTGTACCTGTGAAGGGGGTTAGGACCTTTAGGCTGTAAGCTCTCAAACCTGAACAGCAGTGGGGGGGGATCAAGATGCGCTAGGGTTCAGGACTTGGCCGGCTTAACGGAGAGCTAAACCTAAAAACTCCTAAGCCCTCAGCCCTCAACCCTCAACCCTAAACCTGGTTTCACGAAACTCTGCTGGAGGAGGGAGGGGGGGAGGTCGTATCTTTGAGTTTAAAGGCGGAGCGGCTTGGGGCAAGCCCTAAACCATCACCCCTAAGCCCCTGCAACCCCAAAACCTGCACCCCTACCCGCCCCTACACAAACCCTCAATCCTACACCCCTAAGCCCTCAACCCTACCCCCATAAACCCTAAACCCTACACCCCTAAACCCCAAAACCCTGTACACCCTAAACCCGACACCCCGAAGCCTCTAAACCTCTAAACCCCACACACCGCTGCCGGCGTCAAGTGCCAAGCTTGGAGGTAAACCCTAAAACCTAAACCCTAAACCCTAAACCCGAAACCCTAAACCCTAAACCCTAAACCCTAAGCCCTAAACAACCCTAAACCCGAAACCCTAAACCGTAAACACTAAACCTCCAAGAGGAAGAGGCACTGCAAGGCCTGGCGCGGAAAGTAGAGGTGCGGCAAAGGGATTTGGGGTTGAAGTGTCTCTTGGGGCTTCAGGGGTTTCAGGGGTTTTAGGGGTTTTAGGGGTTTTAGGGGTTTTAGGGGTTTTAGGGGTTTTAGGGGTTTTAGGGGTTTTAGGGGTTTTAGGGGTTTTAGGGGTTTTAGGGGTTTTAGGGGTTTTAGGGGGTTTTGGGTTTGGGGGCTTGGGGTTTAGGGCTTTAGGCCTTAGGGGGTTGGGAATCTAGGGGTTTCGGGGGTTGGGGGGGTTTTGGGGGTCTCCTGGTTAGGGTGGCTTAGGGTTGTCGGGTTTGGCGACCTTGGGTTGCCGAAATGAAAGCCTCAACCCTAAGCCGAAATCCGAACTCAACCCAAGCCCTCAAGCCTTGTGGTTTCGCCTTGAGCGTGCTCCAAGGATTGCAATGCTCGTGCCTTCGTTGCAAGGACTTGGCATCCAAATTTCAGCCGCAGCCCAGAGACTCCAAAACCCCTCAATTAAGGAATCTACCTTAAATTATAGTAGGAACCCAAATATGATTTAAGATATATTCCTTAATTAAGGGATTTTGGAGTCTCTGGGAGACGCGCCACCTGCCAGACTGCAAGCTCCAAGCCTTGAAGCACAGAAGCATCAAGAAGAGCTATGGCCTTGGTGCTTGGTTCAGTTACAGACGCAAATGGGGTCATGGGGCAACTTGCGAGCAGAGAGTTTTGGATTTTGGGCGCCCGGGGTGTAGGCTGAGGCGAAGAAGGTTCGCGGCCATTTGGTCCAACCTATGTTAGGCAGGCCCGTGGGACGTTTTATATTTTCCCTTATTGGGCTTAAACCCCAAACCCCTAAAAACCCGAAACACGAAACCCGCAACTGGCCCCTGCCACCCTAAACCCTATAAACCCCGAAGCCCCAGACCCCCAAAAGCTCTAAAGCTTGAACCCTTCTGTCAGGGTTGAAGGCTTAGGGTTCTAAACCCTAGACCAAACCTACAGCGACACCTGCAGCTAGCTCTTTTTTTGATTTTGCTTGCTACACATATTTTCTTCATTTTTTTCTTTATTGACTTCTTTCCTTCTTTCTTTCTCTCTCTCTCTCTATTTGGGAGTTTTTGTTTCATTCTTACTTGTTATTATGTATTATTCTCGTCTGTTTTTGGCGGGAGGATAGTGGTCTTGGCGGTCTAAGGGCCCCCGTAAACCCTGAACCCTAAACCCTCAATCCCACCCGGCCCGAAGTTTCTCTCGGAAGGGTCATACTGCTTTTTAAAGGCAGGGTTTAGGGTTTAGGGTTTAGGGTTTAGGGCTTAGGGTTTAGGGTTTAGGGTTTAGGCCCTCCGCTGACTTGCATTCCCATTGCCTCGGCTGTAAAGCCTTGTAGGACTTATTTGGTTGCCCCATAGGCCGTAAGCTTTAGGGTCATTTGATGGTTACCCCAACCCACCGAAGTATGTAGTCAGGATTCTCCATTACAAGACCTTTCCTATACCTCAAACTCAGCCGCAGATGGTAAACCCTTGCTTGGAGGTTCGTTGGTACTGCTAAGAAGGGTTAGGCATAGGATAACTATGTTAAAACCCCTAAAACCTAAACTCTAAGCCCCAAACCCTAAACCCTAAACTCCTAAACCCTAAGCCCATATAGAACCCTACTCAGAGTTGCCCATGAACCCTCAAATCCTAAATTCTCGGAGTTTCGCAGGAGTGCTTCATAGGGGTTTTAGTGCCCTTACACTGACAATGATTGATAAGGATTATAGCAGCCCTAAACCCCCCTAAATCCTAAACCCTAAACCCTAGAAGAATAATCCCTAATAAGAATCCTCGGATCTTGGCAGGAGAGCTTGAAAAGCTCGGCAACGGAGATTGGCGACGCAGCGCTCGAGGCAGTTCTGCGCCAGGTGGGGCCACAGCGGTTTAGGGTTTAGGGTTTAGGGTTTAGGGTTTAGGGTTTAGGGTTTAGGGTTTAGGGTTTAGCGCTTAGGGTTTAGGGTTTAGGGTTTAGGGTTTAGGGTTTAGGGTTTAGGGTTTAGGGTTTAGGGTTTAGGGTTTAGGGTTTAGGGTTAGGGCTCTATGGTTTCAAGTCCAGGGGTTTCAGCGTACATAAGCCCCCCCCCCTCAAACCCCTCAAGCCACCAATCCTAAAGCCCTCAAAACCCTAAGACCTCAGTCCTGAACCCCTAAACCCTAAACCCTAAACCCTAAACCCTAAACCCTAAACCCTAAACCCTAAACCCTACGCCCCCTACCCTACCCCTTCCAGGCAGACTCGGCGGTGGCGGCGCGCCGCGGGGCGCGGCCCATGCCCGGGCCCCCGGAATTTCCGGCAGCGGCTTGCTCATGATGAGAGGGTTCGGGGCTTAGGGTTTAGGGTGAGGCGGTTTTGTAGGGGTTGCTTGGCCCAAACCCTCGACCCCGTAAAGCCCCGAGCCCTAAACCCTAAATTCAAAACACCAAGCCCCGGACCCTTTAAAGCGCCTCAACCCAACAACTAAGAGTATAGGGTTTAGGGTTTAGGGTTTGGGGTTCTAAACACAGAACCAAGACCTGAACATGCGCAGTGCCCGCATCCTTCGAAGCGGCTCGTTTCGGTGGGCCTTGCGTTGCTTGGGAAATAGAAACGCCCCATGAGACAGCGCACTTGCAAAGGACAGGTAGGGTTTAGGGTTTAGGGTTTAGGGTTTAGGGTTTAGGGTTTAGTGTTTAGGGTTTAGGGTTTAGGGTTTAGGGTTTAGGGTTTAGGGTTTGGGGTTTGGGGTTTAGGGTTTAGGGTGTAAGATTTAGGGTTGCAAGACAAGCCATAGCAGCATTGCTCTCCCAAAAGGTGCTAGAAGTAAAGAGTGGCACAACAGCCCCCGGTTTCTCCATGCTCTATCTTGAACGCTGTTGCCGATGGCTGTATTTCTTCAACACTTGGTGCCTTTTTGGGGTCCTTATCATGAGGGAATCCTACTATTGGGGGCTCTATATCGGGGGTCCCCTAGTTTCGTAAACCCCTACTTATGTAAGCCCAGCAACAGCCTGTGTTGGTACGACTCTCAATGCCAACTCACTCAACTCCCGGATGTGGGGCGGAGAGGCAAGCGCTGGATCCGGAGCTATAGTTCCCAAAGCCCTACTTGAAGGTTCATGCGCACTTATAAGGAGGGTTATAAGTGCCCTGACTAAGGTTGAAACCATAGTTGCTAAACCCTAGACCCTAAACCCTAAGCCCTAAACCCTACACCCTACACCCTAAACCCTAAACCCTAAATCCGAAACCCTCCTCCTATGTACCCATGAACCTCCAAGTGCAGCCCTAAACTTGACCTTGAGCCATAAACCCTATACGCCCAGAGCCTCAAGCCCCAAACCCTTTACGCCCAAAGCCCCAAACCCCAAGCCCTTAACCAACCCCAAAAAAGGGGGACAACTAAACTCAGGGTGAGGGCCAAGGCAATTTCCCAAAAACCCCTCTTTTTCCTTGAGATAACCTATCCTGGCTGCCCCCCATTCTTACTAGCCCCGTCCGCAAGGCCCAGAGCACCTTGGTTGGGGCTTTATCTGAGAGGGGTAGTTGTGGCGGGGCCCTGCCTCCCAATTCCTATTTCCTGAACCCCAGAGTCCCGCACCGCAAAGACGCATCAGGCCAGTC